CACCCCCCCAAGGCGCCATGTCGGGAAAAGATCGACGGCAGCGATTACCTGCTCCCCCCACAGCGTGAGGGTCACCGTCTTGCCGCTGCAGTCGATCAACGTCAGCGCCCTTTTGGTCAGCTGCTCGCCGGCCTTGCTGGTGATGTGAACGGCGTCCTCGGCCTCCTCGCACACGCCGATCACGTCTGCCGAGTCCAAGCGCACTCGATTGGCCCTGCGAGCGATGCGCTTTTGCCTCGTTTTCTATTGGAAGCGAAATGGCTCACCGAGGATGGTGTCGGGCTCTTTGTCCTCCAACTGCGCGATGGGCACAAAGAGGCAGCGCAGGCTGGGCACGCCGCGGCCGTCGTGGCAGGGCGCGATGCGCGACATGGGGCTCAGCGCGATCTCGTAGTCGTTGTTGAGCGACGTGAACTGCTTGTTGGCCACCTTTAGCGAGCCGTTGGAGATCAGGTAGACCTGCCGCACGGAGCCGTCGTCAGCGAACGGGCGGGCGCTCGGCCCTTTTCTCGGTTTCCGAAGGGAGGGGCGCAATTATCAGGCAGCGTTCAAAGACGACAATACGCCACAAGTGACGCTTTCCGACGTGGACAAGTCGCGAGCCGCTTGAAAAGTTTCATCTCGGGCCAATTGCATTTCTGAAACGCGGCACGGGACGGCAAAAATGACTTCGCGTCTTGGCGGCGCTCTCATTTTCCCGTCCATTCGACTCATCAAATGAAGGAATCATCCGGCGCGTCCTTCGCAGACGCCGCAGGACGAGCCACTCACCTGGTTTTGCTCCAGCCGGGGGAAAAACTTGTCCACTTGCTTGTTGAAGGCGAGGATCCTGATTTCTCCCTGCACACGGTGAAGGCCACGTCGGTAAACGTGCGGCGCGCCGGCACGCGCGTGTTTTGCCGTGACTCACGCTCTGGTCCACGACGTCAAAGCTGAAGAACTTCCCTTCCCCTCTGGAGTTGCTCCAGGTTCGGATATGCGACTTGACGGTCACTCGAGCTCTGATGGTCCACCTGGAAGGAGCGCGCGTTCAAAAGTTGCTTTTGTTTCTTTTTTCACAGCGCGCGAGCAAACGTCTGAAAATCATCCAGGCACCGGAAACATCTCATCCATCTGCTCCCGGCGCAACGGCGACACGCCCGTCCGCCTCTGCGCGGCGACGGCGTCCAGCTGCCGTTCGGAGCGTCGGCGGGCAGGACAAAAGGCGGCGGTCGAAGCCTCCGGGGACGTTCGGGACCCGCCGGCACCGAGATGCCGGCGGGTCCGAAGGCTGCAGTAAGGAAGGAATCAAGCCAGCCACTCACTCGCAATGATACGGGGCGAGTTGGTTGATGAGGGTCAACTTTTTGGGACTCTGCGAGGGTGCAGGAGGGGGCGAGCCCAGGCCAGACCCGGTCAGCGACGCCATCCCGGGGGCCTTCGTCAGGGAGCTTCTGCCACCTCGGGAAAGAAACGATTCAATCAAACGTGTTCTTTTAACGAGTCCATTGTGCAATTTGGACATTTAAAACTAATCCGCAAAGGCCAGCCACCATGTTGGTCTGGAATGAAGCGCTCACGTTTTCAGGCGCATTTTCTTCAACGGGTAAGTGGCGCCACCTGCTGTTCACATTCACAAACATCAGCCTCTTGATATGTGACGCCTGATTCCTAATTCTGAGCACTCCAAGCGAGATCCCGGGCACGAGTGAAACCCAGCTGTTGCGGCTTCACGCATTCAGATAATCGAGCCGGCGGCGACTTGGAACTCAATCGGCAACTTTGGCGCAGGACGGCGAGGTGAAAGGGACTTACTGCTTGCGCAGTGTCCAGAGGGTCCGGCAATTTCATCCGACCCGGAGGTGCTCGGCTGCACCTCCTGCTGGCCTGGAGTTTGATCTGTGGGCCAAAACAAAACAGCATGAGCTCGGCCAGCCGTCTCGGAATTATTTTCGGAAATTATCTGCAAACCCAAAACATTACAAAATAATCAACGTCAGTATTCGCTTTCCGCGGACTGCTTTCAATTCCGTGGAGAGTTTTGAAATCCGCGCGGATTCCGGCGGGCACTAAATCATGCCCTTGTCGTTTGCTTTTTCTCCAAGCGATGAGAACCGAAAGAACAAAACAATCCAAATGGGTCATCGGATTTTTGTGAAAAAAAAAAAAAAAAGTGCTCCCCCCCACCACTGGTCTTTCTCTCACCGGTTAACTGTGCGGGATTGCCAATCTTCCCGCCCGTCTCGGCGGCAGTCAGCAACACGTCCAGGTCCAACACCGCCACAACACGCCTGTGACACAAAGTCGCACACCCGCCCACCCGAACAAGTGAGCGTGAATTCACACGTCCCATCCGCACAACACCCTGACACCTACCTGCTGGCCAAAGAGGAGGAGACGGTTTTCTTGAGCACGCACACACAGTTCGGCTCCAGCAGCTCGGCTTCCCTCAGGTGGTTCAAGTGCGTCGCCAGCAGGAAGCCTTAACGCAAAACAAGCGCACACGCCGCTAACGCTACGAACGCGGGACGCCTGATGACGACGCACGTGCTGGGGGACACTCACAGGACAAACAGTGCACGCCGTCGCTCAGGTTCAGCCGGTACCTGGTGTGGCCTTCTTTGGCGGTCGGGAACTCGCAGATGTTCTGGAAGGCAGGAGAAAAGGAACTCTTGCCATCGGTGACAAGACTAGATAGTACACGTTTAAGACTACTGTCCGTAATATGAAAATCAAAAACGAGTTTCATTTGTAACAAGTCACCATAACCTGCAGCACCGGATTTTTGACCGTCGACTCGTTGAACAGGGCCTGACACAAGAAAAGAAGGTCAAAGGTGCAAAATGCCTGACACCCCACACCCAAGCGCATCTCTTGACGCCTCAAGCGGCCACATGGATAACATGTCAAGAAGACGCATGGCACCGTACCTTTCTTTTTCCAAACAAAACATGACCCTCACGTGTCAAATAAGTAAACGTGTGACGTCATCAGCAAAGCAACAACGGGGAAAATGGTTTGGTGGTTTGGACGCAAAGAGTACATTTCATACAAAAATCCCATGCCTGACATACGTCCAAGTAGTAAAAAGACAAGATAATTGTATCACAAAAAAAAAATAACAACAAAGACAACGATAATTGCGTAGTCACGTGTCGAAGTGTGTTAGCAATTTGCGGCTAACGGTCATTTTCGCGGTTGACGACATTCTTTTTGACTGAGTCGTGCTCATGTAGACGATTGCCTTTACCTCAATCGCCCCTTGAGTGAGTTTGACGCTCATATTATGGCGCAAAAATCTTTGCAAATACTCAAGACCTACGAACACTTCCAACTGAAGAAGCTAGAACTGGCGGGATCACGCAAAACGGACCGATATACTCTAAGCCTTCACAACAAAAGACAGCCCTCTCAACCTCCTCCAAAAAGACAATCTAGTGCTAGTGTGACTCGTATACAACAGCACTTATATATTTATTAAAGTTAAATTCATACAATTCAAACATACAACAACCACAAAAACCCCACCAATGTACGGCCCAGAACCCGAAGAAAGGTCGCGTGTTTTATTTCGAAAGCTCAGTCTTATTCGCAACAGTCAAGTCACCACATTGCAGAGCGGCGTGTGACCGGATATGCCAAATTCTGCTTCAAACATAAAAGATAGATACAAGTCATAAACGACGACAATATATGCAAGTATAACTACTCTTTTGACAATATAAGTAAAATTTAAATGCCACAGCTTCGACTAGTGTTTAATCTCTGAAGGATTTAGTCCAAACATGTGGTTGCTTTTTATTAAAACGCAACCACGTTTGGACTAAATCCGAGCAAGGCGGTACACCTGTTTTGTTTTGAAGGCCAAGTGGTCCCCGGATCTGTCACGTGACATTGCAGTAAGTATGGCTTCTCCCCGCTGTCGATGCGGCGTGAAAACAAACTTTTAGTTTTTCCTAAATGGACCTTCCGTGCCTCCCGTGGCAAGACCACGTCGCTCGCAAGTGGGCCGGACTCGAACCCGAGTTCAGGGAGCGTTTTAAGTCCCTGCTTGAAATTGAAGATGTCTTTGAAAGCGCCCTGAGTGTGACAACGTGAGTTGCTCGTTTGCCGAGCCGGCGCATTTCTTATTTATTTATTTTTTTGACTGACAAAATATCTATTAGATTTCATGCGAATTCGGTAAATGTATTTGTGCGTCATTATTTCACGTTGGCGTTGCTGCTCCTTTCGCTGTGCGCACAAGGGGGCGGTAGGTCACAACAGACGATCTGCACGGAGATTTGAGAAGCAAAGATCACACAGAACTGGACTGTCAAGTCCCACAGCACCCCTGCAAGAGATGGAGTATTTTAGTGGATGGAGCGATGGAGTCTTGAAAACATACAAACACATTTAAAAACATAACAGTGAGAGAGAGAGAGCAATGGATACGACACAAATATCGGACAGTGGAGCGATCCATATTTCTCTTTTTCTGTTCTATTCAAAAAAGAATTTCACATTCAGTAATCTACAGCAAAAATTAGGCAGCGCTTGAAATACTGTACCTTCACTTTTCTTTCAAATGCAATGTGCAAACTAAATACCGTGCCACCATCTACTGGTTGACAGTGGAATTGCACTCAAAACAAAGCTCCCACATGATGACATTGAGTTGCAAACTGTACCCCGCAAAAAATGCAGACCTGAAGCCCGTTGCAACTCCGCTTCAGTCACGTGAGCAGTTTTTCGCAGAGAATAAACAATACGTACCCGTGACGATTGCGATACCGTCCGCACACTTGACATTTCTTCCAGGAAGGACGATGCGGCGCGTCTGCGCCGCATCTCTGCGGAAGGACATGGTCACACGCGGAAGGACGCCGCGGAGGCGTCCGCATGCAGGCAGAGCGGAAACGCCAGCTTCAAGAGCGGCAAGTACGCCGAGGCCGCGCTGCACTACTCACAGGTCACCATCCTCTATGTTCACTTGTAAACATTACCCCCCTTCCCCTTTCTGTTCCATCTTGACGAATGGTCATGACTTCTCTCCGGCTTCCACAGGGCGTGTGTTTGTCCCCCCAAAGTTCGGAGCAGCTGTCGCTGTGCTACGCCAATCGCTCTGCGGCACTTTACCACCTGCAGCACTACCAGGTGAGAACATTCGCATGGCCGCGAATAGAGTTGGACTGGTCACCGGTCAATCACTGGGCACGAGAGCCAAATGCCGGATTGGTCGCTACTCGCTCACAGGACATATTTACACACGCGAGACTGGTCGCCGGTCAGTCATTAGACAGGCGGACATACACTGGCGTGAGCAAGACTAAGACTGGCCGTCAGTCACACGCGGGCATAACTAGCCGAGCCACGCAGCGAGCCGTCGGATGTCACCGCATGGTCTGTCCCCCTCAGGACGCTCTGGAGGACGTGTCGGACGCCGAGAAGAGCGGCTACCCGCCGGCTCTGGCGCACAAGTTGGCGAAGCGCCGCGCGCAATGCCTGGCGCGCCTCCCGTCCTCCCACGTCGGCGCAGACCGAGACGACCGCTCGGGGATGTCTCCCAAAGTGACGGTATGCTTCAGCCGGGAGAAAGGTCGCCACATGGTGGCAACGGAAGCCATCGCGGCCGGGGAGGTGATCCTGAGCGAGAGGCCCTTCGGTTCGGTTCTCGTGGCGAGCGGCGGCACCTTTGGGACGGAGCGGCGGCATTGCCACGCCTGCTTGAAACCCGCCTGGCGACTGGTCCCATGCGCCGGGTGCTCGTACGCCCGCTACTGCGCCGCCCGCTGCAGGGACGGCGCCTGGGAGGAGCACCACCGCTGGGAATGCCCGCTGGGCGCCTGCTTGGCGGCCGCCGGCGTCCTGTCGCACTTGGCGCTGAGGGTGGCGCTCAAAGCGGGCGTCGCCAACATCCGCGGCGCGGCCTACCAAGGCGTCTGGGGCCTGCTGCACCACGTGGAGCGGCACGCCGCCAGCATGCGCTTCCTGTGCGCCGTGACCGCGGCCACGCTGCGGCTGGCGCTCGGCGAGACGGCGACGTCGCCCGTCGGACGGGAGGAGGACGCGGGGGGGCGGCTGCTGGGCGTGGCGATGCTGAGGCACGCGCTGCAGCTGCGCTGCAATGCGCAGGCCGTCGTCATGCTGCAACAGCCAGGTGACGCCCGGCCGTCGCTCCGTCGCCATCGTTTGGTCTTTTTCAGTCAAGTGGCCGCCAGCCAATCAAGGTTTTTCGCCTCAGGTTTGTCGGACGCTCACGTGCAGTCCGTTGAGGAGAGACGGGTCGCCACGGCCGTCTTCCCGACGCTGAGTCTCATCAACCACTCGTGCCGGCCCAACACCAGCTTGAGCTTCGGCGCCGGCGGCGCCGTCACGCTGCGAGCGGCGCAAAGCCTGCGTTCCGGACAAGAGGTCGCCCACTGCTACGGTCAGACCACCGTTCGTAGAGTTTGTCATTTTGATTCCCGTGGGGGGTGTGGGGGCCCTTAACCGATAGTTTCGACGGACTCTGACGTCGCGCCCGTTTTCCCACAGGTCCTCACAGTGGCAGAATGGTCGCCGGGGAGCGGCGCCGCCTCCTGCAGGAGCAGTACTTCTTCCTGTGCCGCTGCGAGGCCTGCCAGGAGGACTGGTCGCCAGACGAACAATCCGGACTGTTGTGTGCCCGCTGCGACGCTTCCCTCCTGGTAAGGGATTTCCTCTTCGGGCGGCGTCCAGTTTTAGCTCTCGGCAATTTAGATCAGTCGCCATCTTGACAATAGATTGGTCGCCGAGCCACACGGTCCAAGGTCATCTTGTGCCACCGGGAGCGGTCGCCAGTCAGTTAAAGGGCCTGCATTTGACCAACAACGGCCTGGACACCTGTAGGCAAACAGGGGACTGGTCGCCAGTCAATCACAGGAGACCTAGGTAGACCAAACCGACTGGTCGATAGTACAATTGGCACAATCGATTGGTCACCAGTCAATAGAGGGGAACCTGTCTGTCCCATCTGTCCAAGGACACTGATTGGAACACAGATTGGTCGCTCTTCAACAGTATGACCACTACCAGCACACGTGCCGGACTGGTCGCCTGCCAATCACAGGGTTTCTTGCACAGACAAAAGAACAAATGAACAAATGGATTGCCAGTCGGTCGCATCGCCTACCTTTACTCCCCCCCAACTGAGCGGTCACCTGTCAATCAGCCTTCCGGCGGAGGCGACCATTCGTGCGGCTCCTGCGGCGGCGTGTGGTCCGGCGGCGAGCTGAGCCAAACGTTGCGGGACGTCCGGCGCGACTTGGAAGCGGCGGCCCATCTCCTGGAGAGAGACCAACCCGGTGAGTGAGCGGTCGCCGGCCCCCGTCTGCCGCTTCTTTGTGTTGATTGTGCTTTCCGCAGGCGAGGCGGTCGTCCTGCTGGAGCGGTCGCAGACGCGGTGGCGGGGGGCGGGCGTG